CTCTTGCGCGCTGAGGTTGTGTTGCATTCTTCTAAACGTCGAACACAATGCTGTGTTACGCAACTTCCACATTCTTTTTGACCACCCTTGTGATATGTGTTATATGAACATTCCCCTTTCAAATATCGCGGATTGGCTCAAGGTTAGCGTATACCTTTAGAGGTGTCTCGCGTCCAAGCGATGTAGTACGAATTGAATTGAATTGTCAAATTTTTCACAACCTCTAATTCCGAACGTCCGAACCCAGGGAGTAGGGGAGGGGAGTGGGAACTCCCACATGAAAAGGACGGGGGTGCTCGTGGTGTCTTTTAGGGATTCAAAATGCGGTTTTGGTACCTCTTAGGGTGTACAGCATCAAAAGGTCCACAGCGGGAGCTTTCGCGGAACCTAAACTTAAGGGCATTGGGGAAAAAAAATGTATTTAACGGGAGATAATGTGTTGTCTCAGAACTTAGATATATGTAAGTTTATATTTAGAACCGGATGTATAAACACGATTTGTTGGCAAAGTCGTCAAGAATTATATTTTGGAAAATGGTAAATAAAATGTCACTGGATATAGCGAACAATGTGTGTGAGTTTCAGGCAACATAAAACTAAAAAATAAAGTAAAATAATACCGACTAGCTGGAATTGAAATCAGAGTGGTATGCTTCATTACGCAGGATAAGTACCTATTTCTTTTGACCTCTTTGAAGCTTAGAATAGACCCTTTTCTTCATAAATGGCGGCCAATTTTAAGTTCTTTTGTATACTTTTAAATTAGCCTCACTAGAGTTGTTTGAGAGTGAAAATACTTTTGAATTATCTGCTCAAAAACGAGGTTAATCAGGCTAATTTCAATATTTACAAAAGAATTTATAATTAGCAGCCATTTATGAAAAGGGCCTATAGGACTCGTGATTTACAAAGGTGTACTTGCTCGTGTGTGGTTTATACCTTGTAGCCATCGCGTTTCTTCCATTTCAGTTGAAATCGACAAAATTGTTCGTTGAACCTACCAGAATGAAAAAGATTGTGTCACAGGTAGTCACGTGACCAGCCGTGACCAGGGTCCCTCTCCTAAGCGGCAAGGGAGGCAAAGAAGAGAGAGCCCGGGATCGAGAGTGTCGTGCGTCTAGGTAGCGCATTAACAGGGAAAATGACACCCATTAAATGTCATAAGAATTTAACAGTTTTATGCGTAGGGAAAAAAAACAGGCGCATTATACATAAATTTGTACTCAAGTGACTAACAGTCGATCTCCTTCAGGTCCTTTCAAAATAGCTCTTTTTTGTCCACGCGCGAGCTTTACGCGTCTCGTATTTAACTAGACACATTTAATGTTCAACGTATTATACGTCTGAGACGTTTTATTCGTCGTCTTACCCAAATACGATGATTTATCTGTTTATTATGACAATCAGTTGGCCAGATCTCATAGGCATTTCGCCGCATTCAGTCCGCTTTGGGTTACGCGAAATGAATTGGCCGTGAAGGCCTGAGAAGAAGCGTTCAGGAACCAAGCATAGGAATCAGGTCATATCTGAAAATCAATGTTTAATTGGAATTTCTTTTTTCGATATGTTTATAAATCAATTATTATTTTGGTGACTTTGCTAAATGAAGAATGCTCCCATGATTGAATAATAAAAGTATTTCAAGCATAGTCACACCCACCCTCCCACTCGCAAACCCACCTATACTATTGATCGCTTGATTGCAGATTGATTGCACCAATCACAGGAAATCATGTACACAGGCAGTCACATCTACTACAATAAACTATAATAAAACATCTTGTAAGGTGACAAGCATAATTTTTTTAGGTACCTTGTCTTGGAAGATTCGCTGTGTCAGTGCCACCAGCAGAAACTCCGAGGAACTAGATCCTCAAGAACAAAGTGAAAGGGTAAACATTTATATGGCAAAGATGGCTAATGAAGCAATCAAGAAGAAAAAATTTGATCTGTCTTCCTATGAGGGATTGCAAGATTATTACGTTTACTTACGCGGACATCTTTCGCTACAGGATGTAAGGCTTCAGTTGAGTAGCATTAAAATAACTGTTAAATGCTCTACCCTGGCGATTCTTGAATACCTGTGGTATGAGTATTGCTCTGGTCGCCTTAACGCAGAAGC